ACCTCTGTGGTGCTTAGGATCAGTGTAGCCACATGGCATGTGGTCCAAAGCATGGAAGGGATTGGGAGCTGCTCTTCAGCCTGGCCTTGGCCAAGTGCCATGCCCGCTGTCTAGGGACAGATGGGCCACAGAAGGTTGTGGAGCCAGGAGGAATGGCCATGTAGGCTCTGCATCGGGCAGAGATGGAGACTGGGAGGTAGGGGAACCACAGAAGTTCTCAGTGAGGGCTTGGCAAGGAGCTGGGCTGGGTTAGTTTGGCCAAAGGGAGGTTGAAAGGGGGTCTACTAGCAGCTTACAGCTCCTAGAGGGGTAGTTACAAAGATGGTGGTGCTACATTTTCCTTGACAGTTGCAGATGATATAATGTGGGACAGCCGTCAAATATGGTCGCTCAGGAGGGCTGGATGTTAGGGAAGACTTCTCCCTGCAGGATGGGGCAGCCTTAGGATAGACACTTGGAGAGGTGGGGTTGCTCCATCCTTCAGGGTTTTCCAAGCAGGACCAACCTGATCCAGTGCTGGTGACAGTCCTGCAGGCTGTTGGATGGGAGACTCCAGAGGTCTCTTCCCACCATCACTATGTGATGCTGTAACAAGTCTTCAGATGTTTAGATGGCACTCTATACCAAAAGCAGCATCTCCTCCCTAAAGCCTTCTCCTGCCTGTGGCCAGAAAGGTCTCTGAGAACTCCTTTAAGGTCCTGTAAAGAGTCTTTTGTGACACCAGCACCCAACTTGCCCATGGCCATCACTTGATGTGGCAGTGCCAGCCACTGTGTCAGGGTTAGGTGGTCTGTGCTGCTTGCTTGGAAATCAGGGTTTCTCCACATCCCATGGCTTATGGCCTCTTTCCAGCTGGTGTTACAAATCCCAGTCTGGAATAATTAATCAGAAGGACTAAGGGCAGGAGGCAGGGGCAGTTGAGAAGTGCACAGGGGGATCTCTGGGGCAGGATGGAGGAGAGCAGTTGGCATGATCCAGAGACATGGGGCCTCCCGGGCAAGGACAGGAGGGGGAGTTGGAGCTAGTGGTGAGCAGAGAAAATCCTCCCTCCCCATACCTCAGATATGTTGGAAGTGGCATGGGAGAGCCCGCTCTGCCCTGGGACAAGCGCCAAGGCTCAGTTGTTGTCCCAGATAAGCACCAAGAAACAGCAAAACAATCCAGTACCTCATGCAAAGCTGACCCAGCCTGCGATGGGCTTGAGGGCAGCACAGACCCACCATGCGACAACCACCAGGATCCCCAGAATGGAATTCTTCACGTCTCTACAGGTGTGTGAATGACTCCTGGGATCACAAAACAGATAGGCAGCAGATACAGGATGTAAGAGCCCAGCTGAAGAGGGACATCCATTGTTATCTCCTGTAATAGCATCTGAGCATCTGGAGCCTGCTCCTGGCTCTCCAGCCTCCTGAGCTGGTAACCTGCTTGCTCAAGAGTGAGAAAGAGCCCTTGGATAAGGTCAAGCTAAGAAACTGTGTGAAAACACACAATTGTGTGCAGGTGGTTGTCATTTCAAGTCCCACCTTGATTTCTCAGCTGATTACAACCTGTTTCTATCTCAAGTACTTAAGTAACCCCTTAGCTAGGCATTGCTTGATGGTTGTGAGCACCTCATTGCTTTTACTCCTTTCTCTTGGCAAAGCACTGCAGTTTCCATCATTTACAGCACTATTAGAGCTGTTTGCATAGGGCATCGTGGCAAGGTGGCTGGGGACAGTTACAGCCCTGTGCATGCTGCTTGTCCCTGTGTGTGAAGTAACATGGAGGAGATCTGGAAGCTGCTCTAGAGGTGAAGATGCTGTTTTCCAGCTCACAGTGACCTGGCTGGGCTCATGGCTTGGAGGCCTCCCTTGCAAGCTGCTTTCTGAGCCCTGTCACATGCTGGTGGCAGCACAGCTGGTTTTAGGTGGGCACTGCTGCTGAGTTACCCCATGCAAGCTACGTAGGTCGCAACACTGCAAGTGAAGTGCATGTTCAAATGACCACAGGAGATGATGGAGTCTTAGGCATAAGACTAACTTTTTGGTCTCTTCCAGGTGCTTTTCATCAATGTGGAGCAGTGTGGGAAAGGTTGGTGGGTGCAGGCTGGATAGTCACAGCATCACCTCTGCTTTTCTAACTAGGCCATCTCAGTGCATATGGTATGGCAAGGATAGGGTCTCTGATGCAGCCCTTGGTTGGACTGCAGAGGTGGATGCTGTTGTGAGGTAGATGCCTGAGGGTCATGAGTGCTGGTGCAAAAATACATTGCTGTAAGACTTAGATAGGCATGGTGCAAACCAGAGTGAGACCCTGGTCCTGCACCACTTCAGCTGCTGCACTCTCAGATCGCATAGTTAAAGCTGAGCATTTCCACATGGAAGTGGAGAATCACCCAAAGAAGAAATCCTCAGCCAAAACCACTGCACAGCCATCACTGTCTGGTGGTGGGCTGGCTCACCTGCACGAGCTGGCAGCAACAACTGCTTTATTTGTCCATCCTCGCAAGCTCCTGGAGGCAGAAAACACCATCAGGGGCTCCATGTGCTGAAGCACATGCTGCTTCTCTGTGGTGCTGTGGGAGGGGAAAGGCTGCCTGGGTGTGATGTTTATGAGGATCTTAAAGGGACTTAGGAGCCACGAGATGCTGGAATGTAAGGATGCTGCCACCACATGCAGCTCTGAGGAGCAGTGATGCAAGGAGGATGCTTCTCTCTTGCCCAACAGTCACACCATGATCTTACCTACAGAATAAACCACAGGTTATGGGCCATCAGTCTGGCAGCGATGTGATGGGCCCACTGTTCTTGCCCGTGTGATGGAGGCAGCAGCTCTCAAACTTGCAGCGAGTGTTTTTGCTGCTCTGGAAGAGGCAGCAGTTTTCTCCTTGGGGGTCTGACAAAATCCCGCTGCTGCTTCTGGCTTCCACCCTCTGTGTCCCCCCCCGCTTGCTGCAGGCTCTGCATCTCGTGACTTAAACTGTGTAGAAAGTAAAAGAAAACAACCCCAACCAGTGAGAAAGCTCTGTGAGGTTACGCTGGTTTTGGCTTAGGTCAGGAAGCAAATATTCCTGCTCTTCGTCAGGGCAGGCTCGCTTCGAGTCTTCTCAGCACACAGGCAACGCTATTCCTGGGAGTTATTCCTACGCAGCCTTACACTGGGCTGGGGTTATGGTGAAGCACAGCACCACTGGAGACTGGAGATAGCCCTTTCTTTGCTGGAGTTGTGTTGTGCCGAGCTCCATGTGCGGGCTGGGGGGGCTCTCCCTGTGGTTCCGCAGGGTTGGGTGTGAAAGGTCTCCCAAAAACCCATGCTGCAGGACATCACTGTACATCAGTAGATTGGTTTTTAAACTAAAAAGCGTGGGTTTTTCCTCCCCTCTTAGGGGGCCAGCAGGGCCCAGGCTCTGCGGCTGAGCCCCTCATTGCACAGGTTTACAAAAAGAAATTGTCACTTTGCTGCTGTCTGCAAGAGAACTCCGTAGGTAAATACACAGTGCCACATGCAAACAGCTGCTGCTGAAAGCCCTAACCTAGAAAACAAGGAAATGCAAAGCCAACGCTCCCAGAAGGATGTTTCCTCCTGTCCAACACACCTCCTGCAATGAAACCACACTATGCTGCAGACAGTTGCTTGAGTACAGGAACCACCTCAGCAATGGCCTGCAGGTCATCTGCAGCGCTGGACCTGGTGCTGGATGATGCTTGTGCAGGGGATGGTTGAGGTTAGGGTTAAATTTTCATGGGCAGCCTCTGCATAACTAGCTGGTAAAGCAAGACAGGCTGGGGCTTGAACAGGACCCTAAATCCAGCTGTGAGTGGAGAAATCAGCTGTGATTGTCCCCAGCTAGGCTCACACCTATTTACAACACGCACATGAGCAAAACGTTACCCCTTAGCGACAGCAAATGTGCTCAGGGGTGGTCATGGGGTCAGTTTGATTTTGAAGTGACATTCAGTGCAGCTGGGACAGCACAGGCCAGGAGTGCATTAGAGCAGCTCCAGACAGAGCTAACCCTGGCAAGCTGAAGGCTGGGAATACACGCTGCTTTGACAGCTCAGGGGGGCTATGAGTTCACTGGGGCAGAGTAGGGATGATGTTTTGCCCAGCCCCAGCACTGGGGAAGAGGCAAGGACTGGGTACAAGCAATGCTGTAACTGGCTCAGATCCCCTCAGCATCTCCTGCTTAGAGTTATAGAATGGTTTGGGTTGGAAGGGGCCTTAAGGATCATCTAGTTCCAAACTGTGCTTGGTGGGTTGACCCCAGACCCTTTGGGTTTTTCACATCTGCCTTGCACAGGGACCTGTCACAGCAGAGATGGGAACGGGTCGGGCTGTTCCCTGGGCACGGTGGGGATCTCTGTTGAGGAGCTGGAAGCCCAACCCGTGCCCATTTTCCTGCTCGCTTTGTTAGGATGAGGCAGGAAGATGGACGTGCCTCAACCCTGCTTGTCCTCCCAGCCTGAGAGCAAGGCTGTGATCGTGGCACCCACCGGCTGTCTGCGGGGATGTGGGGCAGCTCCGGCAAGAGGAACTGGGCTGCTGTCCCCAGGGAATCAGGCGCTGCTGTTTCAGGGGATTTGGGGCTGCTCTCCCGGGGTCTCAGCGCCACATCCCGGGGGATGCAGGGCCTCTGTCCCGGGGTTATGGGACCCCGTGTCCCGAGCTCCTGAGGCTGCTGCTCCTGGGGGTCACAGAGGGGCCGTCTTGGGGCTCTCGGACCCCCGCGGGGTTCAGCCACATCCTCCGGCCGCGGGGGTGCCTGGGGGGAGCTGCCCGGCCCCGTGGGGGCGGAGGGGCTGGCGGAGGGGCGGGCGGGCCCTTTAAGGAAGTCGGAGCCCGGGAGTTCATCAAAGTTGAGAAAGTTTTCGTAGAGGGGGGGGGACGAAAGTAATTAAAATAACTCGCTCCCGGCAAGAGGAGGGCAGCGGCGCCGCTCCCCCGGGGCCGGGCCGGGCCGGGATTGGCGGCGGGAGGCCCGGGGGCGGCCCCGCGCGGGCGGGGCTGGGGCGGGCGGGTCCCGGCCCCGCTGCTCGGTGCTCGGCGGCGGCGGCGGCACCGGGAGCGGCGGCGGGGGCTGGGGCGCGTCGGCCCCGCAGCTGCGGCTCGTTGCGCTCCGCTACCCCCGGCCCTTAACTGCGGCGAGGTCCCGGGACGCCGCATGTGAGCCAGGAGGGCAGCGCCGTCCCACACCGCCCCGCACCGCCCCTGCGCACCGGCACCGCACCGGAGCTCCAAAGCAGCCGGCACCGGCATCACCCCCGCCCCGTTCGCCCCTTTGCCCCGCACCTCACCATGAGCAACCTCAACAAGGACACCGAGCACACCAACGGCAGCGGCAACGTCGAAGAGGAGGTGAGAACCGGGAACGAGGCACGGCGGGGCTGGAGCGATGGGGCGTCGGGGGTGGAGGACCTGGGATAGAGCAGGGCGGCATCGGGGAACTGAGGCGTCAGGGCTGCGGCACCGCGGTGTAGGGGAGCTGGGGCCGGAGCACAGTGCCGTGCTTGTGGAACCGACGGCACGGCGTCGGAGCTGCAGCCCTGGCTCGTTGGGGCGCAGAGAGGGGATGCTGGGGCTGTCCCGACCTTGGAGCCGGGGTATGGAGCGTCGGGGTCTGGGGCTGGAGTACCTCGGGCAGGACGCTGCGAGCATCTCTTAGAGCTGGCGCCCCCGGGCCATCCCGGGGATGCAGCAAGGATTGGGAGCCCCCTTGTCAGCCCTGTGTCCCTGTAGCACCCCCGGGGTGGGGATTGGCAGGTACCTCCTCCCTCCAGCCTGTGCCCGTGGGCAGTGTCCTGTCCCCAAGTCCCTGTGGCTGGAGGGCACCAGGCTCTGGTACCCAGGCACTGCTCTGCCCATGTGGGTACACTTGGACCATGGTGGTGGAGATCTTGCTGTTGGCAGCCTGGTTGGGGCTGGAGGGCTGTGAGCTGCCCTGCCAACAGTCCCCTTCCCTTAGATGGCTATTGCAAGCTGAAGCCTGGCTGCTGCTGAACTCTGCTGGGAGGGCTTGCAAGGGTCTCTTGTCTGTAGCACCATGCCAAAGCTGAGCTTGCAGCCTTGCCCGTTTGCTCTCTGGCTCTCTGGTAGTGATGTTGGTAGCATCACTGCGAGCACGGCGCCTCTCTCATTGCGTCCCTCCAGCAGGTGCTGGTGCAGTGGGTCACCTGCTGCCATCCATCTTGGAGAGGGTGCTGGCAAATGCCCGGCCTCAGCAGCGTTTTGCTGCAGTCCTCACGCCCGGGGAGGTGCCGTGTCCCCTCCCCTCGCTAGCTCCAGCGCGCCGTGCGCTCGCACCGCCGCAACATGGCGCCTGGCTTGCTCCACCACCCACGGGGGCCACACGGTCCTCGTGCGCCAGCTGTCCTGGGGCCATTGCACCCACTGGTCTCCAGCCCAGCACGAGGGGATGTGGGTAATGGGGTGGAATGGATTGGCAGGTGGTGGCCGTAGCATTTCTCCACCCTGAGTGGAGCAAGGCTTAGGTGATGTGATGCTGGTGACATGTCCCAGCTTCACTGGGTGGCTTGGTGTGGGTGGGGATAGACCGAGCACTGGGGACCGTGTGGTGCTTCCTTGGTGTTGGAGGCTTGGATCCGGGGGTTCTGTGGGCTCTGCACGCATGCGCGCAGGACAACGGGGCTCCTTGATCCAATTATTCAGTGGCCTGTGAAGCTCCCCAAGGTCAATGCCGCTTGTTGCATCCCAGTGGCGTTGCTCCAGCTGGCCTGGTGTCCCCCTGGTGCTGGCTGGGTGAGCTCTTGGTGGTGGTCTGGCAAAGTGGGTGATGGAAGCCATTGCATTTTGGGAGCCTGGAAATCCCAGCCCTCTGGGGAGGCCAAGTCCTCTCTGGAGCAATGCTTAGTGTCTGGAAAGCAGAGTTAAAGACTACATCCCTTGGGAATAGGGCAGGAGTTGAACAGAAGCAGTCCCTCTTCTCCATCATGTCACCAGTGGGTGCGTGCTGGAGGTCAATGGTTCCATCCACCCTGTTAGATGGTCTGCAGCTTCACTGGGTGCTGCACCCAGGGCTGCAGCAAAGGACTGGCCACCATAGAGGTGGCTGAGGATGCTTGGGAGCTGGTGGGCTGGGACTAATGGGGGTGTCCCCATCCCTGGTGGGGTTGCTGTTGGGAAGGACTCTCTCTACCAGGATCCATCACAAACAACGCTGTGGGTGATGAGCTGCTGGTTGGGCTCTGTGGTGGCTACCCTGAGCCTGTGGGAGCCCTCAGAGCATTTGCTTTCCCTGTACATCCTCCTGGCTGACCAGGAGCCATTCCTCACTGCAGAAGCAGCTAATGGTGGCAACAGGAGTGACCTTGTGTTCAGGGCCCTGGCGTGGTCTGAGGGGCGTAATTCCAGATCCAGCCCAAATTCTTGCCTGGAGCTCCCTTGACACAGAGTGATAAATATATTTAGTGCAAAGTGGAATCTTTCAGTCCCAGCATACACAGGAGGCGTGCTGGGATATCTTCCCGTGCTGTGTGGATAATGCAGCCAGGTCCTGGTGCTGCAGACACTCCTCCATTTCCCCCCCCTCCATGAGCCTCCATCACCACATCCCTGAGCATTTGCAGAAGGGCGCCGTGCACCCCAGATATGGTGTGGGGCAAAGCTCCCAAATTCAGCCTTTCCCTTTATCTTATCTGCAAGCTCCTGGATCTCGCAGCCGCTTCCTGCCCGGTGACATGCGGAGGACAGGAATGCCTCTTGCTCCTCTCGAGGTCGTTAACGGGAATGTTAAACAAACAGGGCCTAATGTCAGTCCCTGCTGTTCCTCACCAGACACCTCCCCAAGCTCAGGCCCTCCCCATTGCTGCTATCTTCTGTTTAGTTTTCCAGGCAGCCGCCAATCTGTGTGGCAGCTCTCCTGAGGGCTGGTGTGAGGCAGAAGCTGCCTGGGTGCTGCACACCCCTGCTGCAGGCAGAGCCTTCCCCAGCCTCCGGAGGACCTGGACATGGACACTGTATGTTGTGTTCGTGGCCACATCGCATTAAGGACCCCATGCATTCACCCTGCTGTTTCTGATGTAGAAGTGTTGCTTCTGCTCTGGGAGTTCTTCCTTACTCTCCCAGGAGGTCACTGGACAGTTCTGGGTTCATGTGGAGCAGGGGAAATCTGGAACTGGTTGTCTAGATGCCCACTGCAGGTGGCTGAAGTCTGTGGTTATCCCACGTGCCCTCTTGGCCCCTTCCCTTGGCTGGGCTAAAGGCTTGCTTGCAAGTCCATGGGTGGTGGCTGCTGCTGTCATGGTAGGTCAGACATCATGGACTTCTGAATGTGGAAAGCATCAAATGTAAGATGAGGACCAGAAGCTACCTGCTAGGAAAGGATCATCTTCCCTTTTGGTCCACAAAAAGGCTGCAGCGTTACCTGTTAAAGATGCCCTGGTAGGGGAGGCAGGAGGCTCTTGGCTCCTAGGGAGACTCTCAAGTAGTGAGTATTTCATTCTTGGCCTTTTGTAGCTGTTGCACAATGGGGCTGCCAGAACCACATGGGAATGCCAGTGGTGAGCAGCCTGTGTTACGTGCTGGATGCCTGTAGCACTTCCTGGACTGCTGCCAGGCATCTCTTGATTTCTGTAATCTCTGCTTGAGTGGACCTGGGTACCTCTTGCATGCATGGATTCTAGCTCTCTGACTTGAAACAAATAAGCTTAATATAATTTCTGAAGCCAAATGATTCTGTGATGCAGGTCTTTGCTACAAAGAACTTGAGGGTGTAGTAGTTGTGCTCACTGCTTGGTAATTGTCTTGCACTTTGTCTGGCTGAAGCAGGATGGTGCTTCAGAGCTGTTTTCATGCATCCTAAAAGTCCCCTCCATGTTAGATGCAGCTTCCTATTAGTGACAGATTGTTGGCTGAGCAAACACCCTGAAGTCACCATGCACACAGAGGTTCTGGGAACTGGTGTGTTCCCAGACCTCTTCTTGGTGTATCAATGATTGCTCTTACTGGGGGAGAGCTGTGGGAATCTCTCTGTTATCTCCTCCTGTCCAGGACAATGTAAATATGCCTCTGTAAAGAAGCTTATTTCTCCTTTCTTGCTCTTTCAAATTGAAGTTTTAGATACGAGACTACGTTGTTTTGAGCATCAATCAGGTGGACCCTGTGATGGGGTAACTGTTCCTCCTCCTGCTACCTGGCTGTGTAGTTGGTCTGGTAAATGAGACCCAGCTTCAGAAATGCTTGGAGATATCTGTAAGGGAGCCAAGAGTGGTTCAGGCTCTGCTGTGCTTCCTCATGCCTCTGCTAGAGGAACTGGTGGTGCAGAAGGTCCAGTATGATTCTTGCTGGAAGTGGTACAGAGGACTTCTGGAGCCAAAAGACCCCTTAGGCTTGCTGGTCATGAAAACTTTGCTGCTTGGATCATGGACCAATGCTTCTGCCTGTCCTGGGCCTCCGAGGGCCTGAAGTAAAGGCTTCAGCTTGAAGTCTCACCAGGGCATGAGTGTGGAAGTGCGGTGGTCAGCATCTCATGCAGTGGTGAGCACCTTCTCTTCAGGAGTACCAGGCACTGGCTGGGACTCAGTAGCCTCCTCAGTAGACTTCTCTACAGTCTCATGTGGCAGAGGCTGTAAATGGAAAGGATTCATTTGTGCTTTAAAAGACATGTGTGCCATGTGGAATGGCTGAAACCAAATTCCTCCTATGTTCTCAGTGCCGTGAATCTGGACCTGGTGAGGGACCACAGTGGTGGGATTTAGCCCCAGCACTGGACCTGCTGAACCAGGGCCATGCTGAGGTATGTCAGTGTAGCTGTGATCCTGAGCTAGCCCAGCATGTCTGAGGAGGAGGAGGAGGTCATGACATGATTGAGATGCTGCCTGTCCCCAGGCCTGCTCTTCTCCTCATTTCACCCCAGCAAAGGGGTGTTGTGGTGCTTTGGATGATGGCTGGAGGGCAGTGCATGTAGAGCTAGAGGCTTCTGCAAAGTCTGGGCTTTTCTTGGTGTGTCTGAGGTGGCAAGGCTTCCGTTGGCCCCAGGGCTCACCCGCTGGCTCTTGCCTGGAGATGGGAGCAGGGATAGTGCTTGCTCTGTCCAGCTGTCTGGTGAGCATCATCTCCTGCGTGTAGTCCTGTGGGCAGGGACAAGGTGTTGAGCTCTGCTGTGTGCTCTATGAGAAGGAAGAGTCTAGAGCTCAACTGGCCAAGAGCCCTGTGCTAGGGCAGGGTGACCAAGCAGAGATATGAGATCCTGCCTCCATCCAGCTGAGTGGGCATCTCCAGAGGAAAGTTGCATGGGACCGTATGTGCTGGCCTTGCACATTGCTCCCCTTGGTCACTGAGCCCAAGCTTACTCGGCCACAGGCTGTGGTTGCTGGAAACCCAAGGAGCCAAGAGGGCAG